TGGCCCCCCACCCCGCGCGGTCTGCCTCCCCAGCCGCCCCGCCGCTGGCCGGCCCTTTCTCGGGTCTGGGGTGGGAGGCAGAGCCCCCTCCCCCCCCCCCCCCCGCTGCACATGTCCTCGTCTCCCTGTCCCCCTTTTTCCCCGCCTTGCGCACCCCTCTCTCCCCCTTACCCCAAAGAATGCTTTCTTACTGAGAAGTGTAGGGTCCAGGGACTGAAGCCTTATGAAAATGAGAGAGCAGCCCTTCCTCCTTACACTTCTGGGTTTCTATTTGGGGTGGGCAGTCAGCAGCTGTCCTCTGGAGCTATTAAAATTCTCTGCCTTTTTAGTTTTTGAAATGAGGCTGGGTGGGAGGAAATCTTTTAAAGACATCCACATTCTCAAAGCAGGCGCTGTCTACCTTTGGGGTGTGAGGTATAAGGCATTTGCTGTGGAGCCCCAGGCAGTGGGGCACCCTCCGAGCCCCCAGGATGGATGCTTTGCTCACCCTTCTAGATTGGCTCAGAGCCGTGCCTTCCTACCTCTGCTCCCCAAGTTGTGATTGACCAATTAGGTTAGGAGCTGTGAGCAGAGTGAAAGGAGCCAAGTTTATGTTGTGGCTTTCATTTAGGGAATGAGTTGTGTCCTGATGTATAGACGTTTCCAATGCTTGATTAATGGAAGTGACTGGATGGGGGTATATAGTGGGCATAGGCTTGGTTAATCCCAAGTCCTGGCATTTATGTGTCACTCTTGCCTTTCACAGTAATCAAGATGATTACCAGCTGGTTCGAAAACTTGGTCGGGGAAAGTATAGTGAAGTATTTGAGGCCATTAACATCACCAACAATGAGAGAGTGGTTGTAAAAATTCTCAAGGTGAGTGCCTTATGAGTGGCATTAAAAATTTTGTTCACGGGTCCCGAGGTAAACTCCAGCCACATTGTAGAATGAGCAGTGCACGCTCTCATCTCACACATCTTCTGTCTGATGTCCCTTTGCTGCTACTCCTCCCACCTGTTTTCCTTCTTCCTTTGAAGAAAGTATGTAGACCTGTTTGAAATCAAAGCATGATCGTTCAGGAACATACTTGTCCTGAAATGTCACTGTGGTCTCCCAAAGTGAAAATTCCAAAGGGGTCCATTTGTTACAAAAAGAAATAGGGATTCGTATGAAAGAAAAGTTTTTCCAGTGAAGATCCTATCAATTCAAGGGCTCCTTGAGCACGGAGTTTGTTACCCTTGGTGCTTAAAGTGATTCCAGAAAGAAAGTTGGAAGAAATTAGAGCAGCTCCAAAGATGAGTTTGAAGCTTGGGTAGAAACACCTCAGCGGATGATCAATTGATTCGTCTCCTTTGGCAGTAAAAGTGTGTCAGGTGGGGTTGGATACGGTGAACCAATAGTGCCCAGAAGGTTCACTGTTGCTTATCAGATAGTAAAAGTGAAATTGGGAGCAGTAGAAGAGTATGCTTACAATCGCTAAAATTAATAGTTGAAACAGTCTTTGTGTCTGGTTTAGTTGCGCCAAGTTTGATAAAGATACACCTTTTGTTGTCTCTTTGGTGAAGACATGATCTTAATGAGCATGAAGAGTTGGCTAAATTCTCGTTCAGGTAACTGGTTGGATGGCTTTAATAATATTTTATAGGGTGTACTAAAAAAAAAAAGGGTAATTCTAGGCTCCGGGAAGGGTCTTCATCGTTGCCAGATCATTTAATGTGTGTGCATGTCATTCAGTGAAATATCGAAAAGACTAAAGAATGATTAATATTAGCACTTTTGCATATGCAAGATTTCCAATGTGGCCATTTTGGACAGGCTCCGTGAATAAGGATATGGGATTGGAAAGCTGTTTTTGTGTCTTAAGGATAGAGTTAGGGTAGCTGTGTCCCTCGTTAGCATGAGGGGTCAGGCTTACGCTGTCTGAAAATCAGTTTTCAGAAAAGTGATCAGCTCTGTTAGTACCACCCGAGCCTAGTGATGCAGAAGCAGAGTTGCAGTAGACAGAAGTAGGCAAAGTTATCTGTGCCCTCAGAGGCACTGGGGGTGAGAAGTGAGGAATTGATACTGAAGATGTGGAGTTTGACTCCCCTCTTCCCCAAATGTGAACTGGACCTGAAAAGTCACATGGTCTTTTTTTTTTTTTTTTCTTTACAAGCGTAAATATTTAAAGAAATGTTCCCTTCAGGGAAGTCACCTGGGTAAGCCATATGATTTTTTCCTTTATACATAAGCATAAATGTTTTTAATATAAGCTGCTTAAAATCTTTCTAGGAAGTGAGCAAGGCATAAGTTGAACTTAGGAATATCCATATTCCACTGCTGTGCATTTGGAAGAATGAACTGCTGACTCCAGAACAAGTTCAGAAAAATAAACTTTTATGCAATAGCAGCATTTTTAGAATACGTGTGTAACTTCCTGTGGTGTCTTTTTTGGAGGAATGACCTTTAGGTATATATATATATATATATATATAAGTGACAGCACATTCATGCAAGAGAACATCGAGTTGCTCTTTAGTCTTCCTTCTAGAGATCTTCATAGCATCCGTTCCTGGATAGTTTTCCCCCTAAAGATTCACAGGATATGTTTAGGGAACCCAACAAGGAAGCTGAAGGTTATTTTTACAGACGAGAAACCTAGGCACAGTAAAACTTACTTGATACCACTGTGTAGAAATGATCCTTAGCCAGAACTCCTGTTTCCTACGTCTTCCTCTCTTTCCTCATTTTAGCATGGGCTTGTAAGATCTTCAGAATAAGTTCCCGTGTTCTGGAATAAGACTTGGGAGGCTCCTTGGATGCTCTAGTTAATGAAGTGTTCCTTGTATCTTTTCCATACAAGTTCTTTTCAGGGTACAGCCTGAACCAACTTCGTTGCCACTGGTGAAAACCACCCTCACTTTTTTTTTTTTTTCCCCAAAGCCCTGTGGCATTTCTATCCTGATTTTGTTCTATCTGAAGGATGGGGTAAGAATCTACTAATGGTATTGTGGTTTTCTCGTTTTCACAGGCTGAATTAAAGTGGATTAAAAGTATTGTTTGTTTGTTTTTAAAAAAGGACAGGGTCTTGATCCCAAGTTGTGCACTCCTATTCAGATAAGTTATGACTAATATCTGCTGTTACGGTGTTTGGTCATAGGAAATTAGGTCCTTAGCAGAGTACCAGCTGCTCATAATTTAGAGGAATTTAGAAAAAACTTCCTCTTCATAAAAGACCTACTGTATTTCAACGGCAGGAAGGAACTTATGTATTCATGTACACACAGTGACGGAGATATAAGGTATATTCCTTGAAGACAGGGCTGTCTTCCCCTTTGGTCAGTAACATTTTCCTTCAGTTCTTTCCAGTATATGAGGATAGTCAGATGGAGAATGACCACAGAGGAATTCTATCATTTAATTTGTATCCATAGATTTTTTTTAGTCAAAACATATTGGAGCTCTTAAGAGGTTTTAGGAATTTAGAAGTTGGTGAGCAAAATTTTACTGTCTATTTTGAAGTGAAATTCTGAAGTTGAAATTTTTTAAATGTTCCAGTCAATAGGAAGGTTATATCTTTTTTGGCCAAAATTGTTTTGAGGAGGAAAAAAAAAAGAGGGTGGGTGGGAAGGGTTAACAGGAGGGCAGAAATCCACTTTAGTGCTGAAAGTTCCTTTTGATTCTGAACAATCCATTGCTCAGTTCCTTTGTAGTACCTCTTAGGAAGGTATACACAGAAATAAAAGCATTTGGCCATTTCGGACAACTTGTAGCATTTTTTGGGCACCACCTATGTATGGATTTCAGCTCTTCTTGGGATCCTTCAAGTGAAAACTACTGTTTCCTAAATAGAAGTGAAGAGCAATACCATTTTTAAATAAACGTGTACAGTGTTTTGAACCCATGCTGCCCTGACTTGGAAATTCTCATATAAGAGAATGAGTTGGTAGTCTGTTGATAGTCTTATTTCATAAAGAGTTGGGCAAATCCATTTTTCCCCCGGAGGTCAGTTCTCAAGATTAAAACAAGGAATGGTGGTAATACAAGTTTACTTTTTAAGTGGGCTTAACATATTTGTAGAAGTTTCTAAAATGTGAGGTGAGGAGGTGGTATTAAAAGAAGGATGGGAGGCCTGCCAATGACCCATCTTGTGGGGTTACTTCAGAGTGAGCAGGCGACTCCTTGGTTGTATCAAAGTGATGTTTGCTCATGCTGGTGCAGGGCTTTCTCCTTTATTTCTGCTTTCTCCGATGGTAGTATTTTTCCCTCCAGGTACTTTGTTAGGCAAATGTACCAAGACATCATCTTCCTGAAGCAAGACATTAGTATTAATTTATCTAAAGTTTTTGTGATTTTTTTTTTTTTTTTTTAGTTCCCACAAATGTCTTACGGTATAAAAGTAGTTAAAATGGTATTATGAAAGTGTTACTAACATCAAAAATAATATGAATTTCTGTTTCTTTTTTCTTTTAAGATTTTATTTATTTGGGGCACCTGGGTGGCTCAGTCGTTAGGCATCTGCCTTTGGCTCAGGTTGGGATCGGGCCCCACATCAGGCTCCCCACTTAGCGAGGAGACTGCTTCTCCCTCTCCCTCTCCCTGCTGCTCCACCTACTTGTGCTTGCTCTCTGTCAAATAAATAAGTAAAATATTTTTTTAAAAAACTTATTTATTTTATTTGATAGAGATGGTGTGTGCGCATGCAAGTACAAGCAGAGTGGGGGGGGGCAGAGGGAGAGAGTATATCAAGCAGACTCCTCACTGAGTGCGGAACCTGATATGGAGCTCCATCTCACGACCCCGAGATCATGACCTGAACTGAAACCAAGAGTCGGATACCCAACCAGCTGAGCCACCCAGTCGCCCTAGTCATTGCTGTTTCCAATATTGCGGTTGTAGGGTCTGAGTTTGAGAGTGCAGTGAAACAGAATCATGAAATAAGGGAGCAGAGAAACCTTAGAACCCAAACCCTTTTTACAGATAAACTGAGACTCAGAGCATGCCGTTTGCTCAGAGTCACATGGTTAGGGGATGTAAGCACTAGGGTCCTGGTCTTCTGCCCCTCTCATGGATCTTGTAGATGTGAGAAGCAGTTAGGACATTTGCTGGGTATTTGACTTCTTGAGGTGTTGAACTGTACTGGAAAGATGGATAAACACTCACTAGAAATCAAATGAATTTGTTCCTAATGGTTTTGGGGATTGGGATTCTTCTGGAAGGAAATGCTTGACTTGGACAGGTACTAGATGGAGTGCGGAACAGATGAATACCCAGAGAACTATAGGGACCCAGCCAGGGGCTCTCTGGTTTGGGTCTGCAGCAGCATGGTGAATGCATAAGTGAAATGTTATTTTGCTCTCTTGGTTTGAAGCCACAATAACCAGTGTTTTTATACTTTTTTAACCCATACAGTTCCCTCATCATGATGACTTGCCAGATATGGGTGCCAACTTTATCCCTCTAATATATTAGGGTTGGAGAGTGAGCCATTTGTAAAAAGAATATCTTGACATAGAGGACCCATTTTCATGTGTATAGTGTGGCTGTAGATACTTTCTAGAGCCTGATTTTAGGATCTGTCCCCTCATGATGAGGGCAGTATAGTGTTAAGTGCTATAAATGGAGGGCAGGAGACTTGGGTTCTAGAACCAGCATCTTCATTTATACCCAGTTGACTCTTTTTTCCTATCAATAAAATGGATATATGTTTCTTGTGGAACTCATAGGTTGTTGGGAGAATTAAATGAGATCTGGAGAGATGGGTAGGTAGATGACAGTGTTTTAGTCATCTACACAGGGCTCCTTTCCCAAAAGTGGCCCTGGAAGTAGACTGCCTGCGATCAGATGGGCATTCCCAACACTGCGGCTCTGTGACCTTGAGCAGTTATTTAAACTCTGCCTCAGCGTCCTCATGTAAAAGTGCTCCAATAGTAACTCCTCTCAAAATACTATTAAAAGTGGATTAAATGTGCTTAAAACAGTGCCTGGCACTTAGAAAGCAATAAAGTATGGTTCTAAAAACAATATTTCAGTTGGGCCACGTGAATGATTTCAGAGGGCAAAACCAGTAGTAGAAAGGATTGTACCACTCTTGATGAGATTCAAAAGGCCTGCTGTATGCCTTGCTTTTTTAAATTAAAACACACCCACCCCCCTGACAATAAACAGTCTCAAGGAGTCGATAACGTAACTGGAAAGATGGGACTTGAAAGATTAAGGGAGGAGTTGCTGTGAACAATTAATATTGCTCAGATAATGTTTATATTTGGGTCAGTTGCAGTGGATTTGAGAGATGCTCCCAAGGTAGTAAAATAAATGCTGTCATCGAGGCTGAACTTTTCTTCCTTACTCTGTCCTGCATCCCTGGCAACCAGTTTTCATTGTGATTGTTTACTGCAGGTGACGAAACTCTGTTGTCACTGTGGCACTGGAATAAAAGTAATTCCAGATTTGGAAGTTCTACACCACCTTCCCACCTGTCTTGAATTTATTAATTCAGTTGTGCTTAGAAAGAAATGAAAATGGGACTTTGCCTGTTCTTATGCCCTTTGTATATGTTAGTTCACAAATTCAATCACAATCAAATGCTAGTAGTTGAAATCATTCTCAGATCTGGCTTTTTAAAAATCAGCCTTAAGTAAATAGGACTGATCACTGGCTTCATTAACAAAGCAGCCCATCACTAAGTTTGTCTTTTAAGTTTTTCAGTGTTGGTCAATAGGGAGAGAGAAGTAGTATCTTAACTCTTGGATTATGTTGAACAAGGTTGTCCTGAATAGCTGGGACTCTGCACCAGGTGGGCTGAAACCTTTGGGAAACTTCCTTCCACCCCCTCTCTTTGTCTCTCTTTCTTTCTCTTTCTCTTTCTTGTTTTTTCCTTCCCTCCCTCCCTTTCCTTCCTTTCCTAAGCTCATGCACAGAAAATTTCAAATTGAGTTTTTTCCTTTTAAACATTCTCTGTAGGTGTGTGCCAGAATTCATTTATTACTGAAACTTGATTTAATACTTTAATTTCTTTTTTCTTTTTTAAGCTTTTTGCCATTTTGCTCTACTAGACTTTGAGTAAAAAAGAATATTGGGAAACAGCTGAACTGATTCATTTTGAATCTTTTAAACAGATATTCTCTGAATTGAAATAAATGAACCTTAACTGGGAGAGACTTTGTCTAGCAGGATGAAATGATGAGACTATGATGGAAGTGTGTATTTTCTCTGTGTAGCTACAGGTGGATGAATGCAAACGCTGGGCTACAGCTCAAAGCATTCTTATTTTCATGAAATCCTTGGTCTGTTTTCCATAGGATGTGAAGGGTCTTCCTTTATAAATTCTAGCCTTTTCTCTTTAATTCTGTTTACAGCATTAAAATGATCACTTTCATTCCCAGGGAGCTCATTGGTTTTTTAGCTTCTAGAGCATCTCCCAGGTTCAGAAGAATAAGCTTGAGGCTAAAGGGAGTTCCCTATGGCCTGGTTCCTGTAGAGAATAGATGTCCATGCTTTGGAGGAGTGTCCTGGGCTGTAGGTCACTTTCTTCTTTTATAATCTCTTGGTCTTTTGTCAGGATGTGAGGACTCCAGGTGCTGTGTGAGTCCATTGTGCCACTTGAGAATTGCCATGCTGTCCCCAGTCTCTAGGTGAGGAAATTGTTGGACAGGTGACAGTTGGGTAGCAAAATATGCTCCCTTGCTCCCTAAATTACCTGAGGACATAATGAGAGATACCTTAATCTCAGAGTCATCGTCCAGGAACTGTGTGCCTGCCTGACCTGTTGCTGACTAACAAGAGGGCAAAGCAAGACTTTATATGGGGCATTGTCATAAAGGCAACTGACTTAGTGGATTAACCCTGTACTAATTCACCATTAGGGGGAGAGCAAGGTTTTTGGTGTATACAGATCTCTGGCTCTGGTGTATTTTCTCCTCTGTAACCACTCTCACAGATCTGTAACTGCTTTCCAACTCTAGAATTTTCTTACATTGAATATACTGGTAGCGGGGCGCCTGGGTGGCTCAGTCGTTAGAAGCGTCTGCCTTCGGCTAAGGTCATGATTCCAGGTCCTGGGATCGAGCCCCATATCCAGCTTCCTGCTCCGTGGGAAGCCTGCTTCTGAACCCTCTACCCCCCCCTCCGGCTTGTGTTCCCTCTTTCCCTGTGTTTCTCTCTGTCAAATAAATAAATAAAACCTTTAAAAAAAAAAAATATATATATATATATATATATATATACTGGTAGCATTGGCTGAATTTATAGATACAATAGCCAGCTTTTATTTTTCTTTTAACTTTTTGACATCAGACTTAAAGAAAAGTTACAAGAATCCCCATATATCTTCCCTCAGATTTCTCAAATGTTAACATTTGCTTTATGCCTTCTCTCTCTCATATATAAACACACATATATATGTGTATAAACGTATGTAATTATGTGCTTGAGAGTAAATCACAGTGATCCTTACTATAGTGTGCATTTCCTAGAAACAAGGACAATTCTTACGTACCCCCACAGTGCCATGATCAAAAATCAGAAACTAACATTGATACAATGCTGTTAGCTAATCTACGGCCCCTGTTCTCATTTGCCAATTGTCTTATATAATGTTTTTATAGTAAAAGAAAATCCCAGGTCATGTGTTACATTCAGTTGTCATATCTTTTTAATCTGGAACAGTTGTTGATTCTGTTTCCTGATACTGACATTTTTGAAGCCTATTCTGTAGTGTGTCCTTCTCTGGCTGTTTTTTTTTTTTTTTTTATCAAGTTGTACTTCGTGTTTGAGTGCTTTATTTCCCCCAAAGTCTTGAGCTCCCTAATTATGAAAAAGGGAATGAGTACGATACCTAAGTGGAAGTGGGAGAGCGACACAGTAGCCAGATCTACTCTCCCGGGAACCCTGACAAAGCGGAGTGGACATGAGTGTGGCAGCGGGCTTGGAAGAATGCAGCTAGATCCCAGCCTGTCAGTCAAGCACCCTGTTAAAGGTGATGCAGGTGCTCTGTGTTGTTTCATAATCTCCCTCTGTTTTGTTATGTGTTCAAAGCTGTAGCTTAGTGACCAACAAAAGATGACGGTGTCTCTGGCATGTATATATCTCCCCTCCCACCACCATACACACACAAGCTTTTAAAATCTTATTTCATTGAAAACCCATTGGACTCTCTTTGCCTGTGGTATCAGAACTGTGTCTAGTGTCTCGATGATGGAGAACTCCTTTTCCCTAGTTCACCTTCGCTCATAGCTGCACTTGGGAAATGAGAGCACCGTGGCCAAGAGGGAGGCCTACAGAGTCACTGTCTAGATCGTAATCCTTCCCCCACCCTTCATTGTCAGCTGTGGGACCTTGGGCAAAGGGTTCAACTAGGCTGAGTCCACTACATAGGAATTTTGTGTTTGTCACTAACTAAAAACAAAATAATTTATTTATTTATTGAGTGCTTACTACATGCCAGTCAAGTGTTCTAAGTACTTTATAAAACGTAACTGATTGTGATGTGTCTGTCTGTTGTTCCAGAACTACTTACATTCCTCAAATTCTTTAAGACAAATAACACCTGTAATGCTAGTATTTCTGATTGCAATCTTTAATTTTTCTATCCAGCAGATGGACAGGTTAGCAAGTAGAGGTTTCCAGTCAGTACTGGATCAGAGATCCGTTTTCTCCTTTGCTGATCCATCATTTCTTTCTTTAGGAGTGGTATGTGTTGGGTAGTTTTAGTGGCTCTGTGCTGATTTCAGATTCTAGATGTTGAGGAAATGGGAGTGGCAACAGGAAATGGGAGCCAGCAGCTGGGAAACAAGTTTGTAACTTGATGTCCATGAACTGGTCTTCGCTCCTGGAAGACAAAATTACATGTAACTCATTGGAAGAGCAGGTGTCTCACCATTTTGTTTCATTTTTTTCTGTTTGCAAGTGCATGATATACAGCTGTTCAGAGCTGTAGCACGCGTTGCATTTGGCAGTTATCTAGAAAAGCATTTTATTTTTAAAGTATGACATGGGTGTTCAAAATTTGTAAGTGCCCTAAATGTAACTACCTAAAGATCTGACACATATGCTATATGAGTCTGTGTTTAACTTAATCTTAAACATTCTCAAGGGCAAGCCCCACTTTTATCTTGATTTCTTTTTTCTAATTTAGACACACTCTCTAACATTGTGTGCAAGATAGCACAATAGGCCCTCGATTAGCTGACGTTTTAAGGTTTTATTTATTAACTTCAAAAGGAATCTCACTTCTGATTACTCTTGTGTATTTAAGCCAGTGAAGAAAAAGAAGATAAAACGAGAGGTTAAGATTCTGGAGAACCTTCGTGGTGGAACAAATATCATTAAGCTGATTGACACTGTGAAGGACCCTGTGGTAGGTGCCTGACGGGGGAGAAAGAGAAAGTGAGTGCGTGCGTGCCTGTGTGGTGTGACACAGAATGTCAAAATAATGAGAAACATTACATAGTGGGAATGACTGTGTTCATCTTTACTACTGAGTAGTTTTGAAAACCACAAAAAATCATGGTGGCCCAAAGATGAAGTAGCCACCACCACTTTTATGGAACCTAAAAGTGTGTATAGAAAAATTCCTATCCCAAGTTTATTAGCTCATTCTGATTTAGCCCACAAATGTTCGCTGAATGTCTTCTTTAAGCCCCAACTTTTCTTCCAGTTTTGAAAGCTTATTACCACCAATTAGCCTTATTTTGCTTCACTTAAGTAAGCCTGACATCTGAAAGTCTGGGCTTATAGAAGGAAATACCGAATATCTCCTATCTCCACGTGGACACCTGGCATAGAGATCACAGCCCACAGACCCCTTGAGGAAGGCATCTTGCTGTTTCTCATCCTAGGCCTTAATTCACTGTCTGTCCCTGGGGCTCACATTGTATATGCTGATACAACTAAACTGTTTTTGTTAAAAATGCTTACTTTGTAGCCATTTTAGATGTGCTCTTTAATTTTGTTTTCTCTTCTTGGGGAGTAAACTTTATGATTAGCTAAAGTTTTTATGTACCACCTCCCATCCCATTTCTGTTCTTCCTCTGTTCTACCTCACCTGTTTTCCTAGCCTCCCATGCTAGCGTTTCGTGTAAGAGGTGGGTCTTCGCTTCTGTCTGCTGAAGACATGATAAAGAAACAGTGTGCTAGCGAACATGCCGCTTACTGTGCGCCGGCACTGTTCGGGACCTCACACAGTCCTCAACAATCCACTGGAGTAGGTGCTATTATTGGGCCACATTGTTACATTGTACAGATAGGACAACTGAAGGCTAGGGAGGTTCAGTAATTCGCTCAAGATCACACAGGATCATTAAACTGAAGAATAAGGAAAATTTTGCCTTTGGGACCCTAAAAAGACTGAGAAGAATGGTTGTAAGCTAGATTCTAGCTAATTGGCATTAAAAATATATCCCGGCCCGAGGAGCTCAGATTGATTTTAGAATGACTAACTCTGGACTCTATCATCTTTGAAAACGGCCTGCAGTGTGAGCCAGTACATATTACTGTTGTACCAGTGGCCTCTGCATTTTGGCTTTTTTTTTAAGTTAATAGAACTCAATGATACTTGTCTTACTGATAACTGTAATGTGTTGCTTAAGGCATGTGTGTGTTTTATATAATGTGGAACACAAGTAAATTAAAATTGGATGAAAACCAAGGGGAGAGCCCTCCTCCCCTAACTTGTAGGGAGATGGGCTCACTCCCAGGCAGTAGAGAGATCTGGTGGTCTTGACGAAGCCCTGTACCCCTGTACCCTTCGGGCTAGTGAGGAACCCTTTGACCAGCGCTGCTGGGACTGCTGCTCGTTCGGACAAAGCCCCGTGTGCATGTACTGTACCCTGTTTCCTGGGTAACTTTTACCTGCTTCCTTGAGCAAAACGTCCCAGCCATAAAGTTTTCCAAGGTGATTTTCTTTCTATAACCCTTTAAGCCCCTGCTTTTCTCTTAAATTTGAAAGCTTATTACTGCTAATGAGCATTATTTTACCTTACTTAAGTAAATCTGACGTTTGAAAAATTTATACAAGGAAATATTAGACATTTGGTACTCATTGCATTAAATGAGTATGATTTTGGGGGGTGCAGGGAAACACATCTACCTTGTAAATTGAGACATTCTCTAGTGGTCTCTAGCCAAGGCAGTAGTTTCACATTATAGCCTACTGATAATCATAGATATTTTCCTTTTGGATCCTGAAAAGGCCTACGATAGATTCCCACGACAAATGATAATTCTGTAAAATGCATCTGGCTCGCTAAACCAAGATGAAAACATGTCACTCCTTTTGTGGTTGGCAGACTGGAACACTGCAGAGTATAATTCTTCACATAATGTGCCAGGCCCACAGACAGGTTGGTCAGAGAATACATCTCCTTTAAAAAAAGAAGAAGAAGAAGAAGAAGAACCTTATGAAAAATGTCAACCATTTACGAAAGTAAAGTGAATAAGATAATGAACCTCCCTGCACACATCACTCATCTTTAGCAGTGCCACAACCTCGTGGCCAATTTTGTTTCACCCCCCTGCCACCCACTTTCCCACCGCCCACCATCCCCACTTATTTCGAAGCAAATTCCAGACACATAGTCTCAAGAGAATACTTTCTTAATAGGCTCTCCCTGATGAGTGAATCCCGTTTTCATTTAAGTGGGATTTGGGGATGGATCGGTACAACAGAAACAAAGCACGTTTATTGTTTGAATACTTATAAGGCATTACTCTTCTCTCTTTCAGTCAAAGACCCCAGCTTTGGTATTTGAATATATCAATAATACAGATTTTAAGGTGCGTATATGCTTTTTCTTTCTGGCATGGGGTTAATGGGGGATGGGCAGGTGGCGATAAGTACTGTGGTTACTCCAGAACAAAAGGGGGCCAGGAAAAGGCCTTGGTGAGAGTGGGAAGTAACAAATCGGATTCCTTACCGCATGAGTATAGGATGCAGAAAGTGGGTAGGGTTCTTGCATTTGGTGAAATTACTCATCACCCTTTGCCTTGCTTACTCTGGGAATAGCTGCTGGGCTGGGTCTAAGCTAATGCCTCATCTATAACACTCCTGTTTTACACAACATTGTTTTAAGTAGATATTTGATTTGCATAGGAATCTTCCCTTGTTGATAGGAAGTGGTAAACGGATACAGGGCTCATGTGAAAAGAAGCAGGACATGGGATTCAAGCTGTCAAGAGTGTGTGTGTGTTCACGAACACTGTATACAAAGCAAATGACACAGAAAAGGTAGTTAAGTGTCGCTGTGCTTTAGAAAAGCCCTATCCTGGGTTATTTACATTTCTTGTAATGCATGTTAATTTAGACTTAATGTGTTCTTCTAAAAGCATGATTTTAAGCTGGTTTTTTCAAGAGTTTTTTTTATTATTAATAGTTCAGACACTACAACCTTAACTTCTGGTAAGGTTTTTGGGGCCAGTTATTCTGGACATGGTAGAACGTAACATGAAAACCAATATAAGAACAAAATAGTGGTGTTGATTTTGAGGGGTGTTTGGGGAGCTTTTAGGTTATTATAATACTCTGTCAATGAATCAAAGACTTGTGATTTTGTTGTGATGGAAGTTAGGGCCAAAATCACATCAGCAGTTGAAAAATGCTGGTATCAGGAGTGAAGCTTTTGGGTGAAAATAAAAGAGCTTTATCTCACATTTAATTTTTCTTAGGTAATCACTCTAAAACAACATAGGGTTAATTAGTGGAAAATAAACGTGGGGACTATAATTTATGAAACAATAAGCAAGTTTTATATACAGTGTAGCTTTTCCACGTGTAACAAGTTTCCTTGTTAGTGTGACTCCTTACAGGTGAAGTCAACAGTGAACTCTTAACAGTAGCATGTAAATGTTTTCATCACCCTGATGGTGCTTAGCCAGTAGAGTTTTTTGTGATACACATGGTTGATCCCACTTTTGCTGTGAATGACCCAAGTTTATCAAGGTGTGCGCATTTCTTAGTGAAACCGAACATTTTCCTGAATACCAAAGTTTAAAAGCTGGTCTTAATGAAACTTCATATGAAATGCCTAAATTTTAAATGCTACTGCTTCCTTAATGAGTTTTTACCAGTTGTCTGGCGACACATATAAAATTTTCACTTCAGCATTTTGTGTTTCTTAAATTGACAGCTGCCCTGTGGATTTAACAGCATGCAGAAGATGGGTTAGCAGGAATTTTTAACTCCCTGGAGAAATCTTACTTCTTTTGCATCTTAACTCTCAAAAGGATGTTTTAATGGCACACATTCTCTAGGAGCTTTCTTTAAAGACATCTTGGAAAATTTATGTTTTCTGAGGCTTGTGTATCTGAAAACATTTTTATTTTATCTTCCTAATTAATGGACTTGCCATGGCATAGAATTCTGGGTTGTAACTAATAATTTTCTCAGAATTTTGAAGAGCTTTTTCCATTATTACCACTGAAGCCATTCTGGTTTCTCCTTATGTGATCTGTTTTGGGTTTTGGTTTTTTCTTTGGAAAGCTTTTAGGATTTTCTCTTCCGTCGCAGTCTGTGAAATTTCACAATGATGTTCCTTCGAATGGGTCACTTTTATCTTTTGTTCTGGACACTTGCTGGGCTTTTTCAATCTAGAAACTCACGTCCTTCCGTTTTAGAACAGTATTTTTGACATTCTTTGATTTTCTTCCCTTCTTTGTTCTCACTTTCTAGAACTCATTCAAATGTTAGACTTCATCTCTTAGCTCTGTTCTGTTCTCAGAACTTTTAAAAGTAGTGTCCTGTTCTTTTATGTAATATCTTCTGTTCTCTCACTGAGAATGTGTGGGTTTTCTCCCCCACCCCATGTTTTCTTCTTGTAGTCTTTTCTCAGTTTTTCTTTCAAATTCTTTTTTGTGTGTGTGTTCTTCTTTTTGTCTCTGTTGCAATTGTCTGAAATGTCATGGTTTTTGACTGTCTACTCTTAAGAGTTATGAAATTACTGATGACTGCTTGTCAGCTCCTTTCTGGAGGATGTGAGCCTGGCTGCGAGCCTCCCGGCCTCCAGCAGAGGAGCCCGGTGGGGAGTGTTAATGTGCGCTTTCACGAAACTCCCCATTTCCAGTGTGGTGTTTTAAACTTGTTTTCTTGTTTTCAGCTGAATCTGTTGACTCTCTTTCATTGATACCTGGGGTCACCAGTTCTTTCGGGAGTTCTTCCATGTGCAGCTGTCTGCTTCTGGAGCCCTCTGCTCTTGGCAGAATTTGGTCTGCTATGTCAGTTGGACATTTTTATCTTGCTTCAAGATGTTGTCATCTCTTCCATTCTCTTAGTTATTGGGAGTGAATCCCCCAAGCCCCACTCCTTTACTGTTACTTTAGAGGAGCTTCAAGAAGAAACAGGGTAGGATGTGTTTGGTCTGCGATATCACACTGCAGGGCCCCCGTGAGTGGTCAAGCAAGCCCTGCCATTTTAGTCAGCTTACAAGATTGTTAAATATCAGGTAGCCAATACGTGTTTTGGAAGAGCAGATCATGACAGGACCATCATTTTCTGCTCCAGGTAGTATGACAGGCCGCAAATAGGGAAGTCAGCTAGTTTAATGTCCTCATGAAGGCTTTTTATTTTGTCCTGTGTCTAATTAGAAAAGCTTGTTTTTATTTTTTCATTTTACTGTTAAGTGTATCAGGAACTGGATTTAAGGTATCGCTCAGAGGAGGTTTGTCCCAGGTTTAGTATCAGAGGTGAATCAGCAGTGATACAACCCACGGCCTGTTCTTTTCAGAATTTTTTATGGTTGTAATTGATCATAAATTTTTATCCATAATTTCCTTTTATTGTAGATTCCTGATTATCCTAACTTCATAAAATAAGTTGAGCTCTTCCTTTCTATTCTCTGAAAGTTTATATGAAATAGGGATTATCTACTTGTCTTTTGGGAGAGAAGGGAGACTTTGGACTATACTTGCCTTTTCAGAATGTACATCTAAGTGAAGGGCTTATCCTGGTTTTTTTGTCTCTTCGTGAGTTTGTTTGAATGGTAACGATTTCTAAGGTCCACTTTCAATTTTATTTACACAAAGTTAATAGAATTTTCTTAGGGCTTAAAGACTAATATGTTTATAATTATGTTTTCATTTACATTTTCAACATTATTTGGGACTTTTCTCTCTTTTCAAAAAATTGCCAGTATTGCTAGAGATCTCTTTTACTAATACTTTCAAAGAACCAGTTTTTGGTTTTATTGCTCAAATGTTTCCTTGTTTCTGCTCCTATCTTAATTATTTTCTTTCTTCCTCCCTTCTTTCTTCCTTAACTGTTTTCATTCTTGGGTTTTCATTGTTTTCCCCCAACTTCTTGAGTGGAAGTCTGCTCATTTCATGTGTTCCTATCTTTCTTGATTGGTGGTAAGTGGGCTTTAAGTCTGTGCAACATCAAGCAGCGCCTTAGCTGCGTTCCTTGGTTATGGAACTCACTTCTGTATCGTTTTCAAATTAGAAGTACAAATTCCAGGGGCCCCTGGGTCGCTCAGTCGGTTGAGCGCTAGTCTCTTGGTTTTAGCTCAGGTCGTGATCTCAGGGTCATGGGATGGAGCCCTGTGTCATGCTCAGCGCTCAGCTCAGAGTCTGCTCATCTTTACCCTCCCTCTCTGCCTCCTCTCCTGCTCCTCCCCTGCGCGCACTCTCTCTCTCAAATAAATAAATAAAATCTTTATTTTGAAAAAGGAGTACAGATTCCAAACTCGTGGATTTGGGTTTTTCTCCCCTGACTTTGTACTTTGCAATATTTTATTTATTTTTTTTAAAGATTTTATTTATTTGACAGAGAGACTCAGCGAGAGAGGGAACACAAGCAGGAGGAGCGGGAGAGGGAGAAGCAGGCTTCCCGCGGAGCAGGGAGCCCGATGCGGGGCTGGATCCCAGGACCCTGGGACCATGACCTGAGCCGAAGGCAGACGTGTAATGGCTGAGCCACCCAGGCGCCCCTGTACTTTGAAATATTTTAAACCTACTGAAAATCGTAAGGAGTAGCACAGTTAATACCTTCATGTTTTTCCCCTAGATTTACCAGTTGCTAATAATTACCACATCGGCTATTCGTTCTTGTCCCATCCCCACCCTCCCCTCTTTATCTCTGTCTTTTTGTTGAAATCATCTCAAAGTAAGTTGTATGCATCAGTGATACTTCACTCCTAAATATACGCGTGCTGGAGCTAGATAGGACCTTTTCCTACCTGCCAGTACTGTTATAGCACACTGAAGACACTGAATACTTCTACGATAATGCCATCTGATACACAGTACAGAGTCCATATTCAAGAGTTTCCTGGTGATTATTGTCCTAGGAATGTCCTTCATAGCTGTATGTTCGTGAATAATGTGGAGGAGCCATGTAGTTTTTCAACAAAAATATTCTTTTATTGTTGATTCCTAATGTGTCTGCACTGTGTCCAGAGGAACATGACCCATATAATGTTGGTTCTTTGGACTTTGTTGACAGTTGCTTTGTGACTCTAGTGCATGGCCATATTTTATATCAAGCTTGTTAATTTAGTTCAGATCTTCTATGGCCTTACTCATTTTTCCCCTTGATAACTTCATTTTATGGTGGAGGTACTGGTTTGGTCGATTTCTCCTTGAAATCATCAGTTACGCTTCATATGTGTGAAAGAGATCATAAAAGATACATCGTGACACTCAGAAAAAAAGACAAAACTTCCAAAGGAGTAGGAAAAGCCAGTCTCTAATAGTTGAAATGAACAGTTACAGAAAACTCTCAAACTTGACATTTTCTCAAGGAAGCTAAAGTACAGTTTGTGGCAGTTTTCTATGCTTTTGGAAGAATATAAATAAAAATAAATAGACATTTTAAGCAAAATATATCATCTGGACATTTTAAAGATTGGTAAGGCGTCCTGAATAGACTCCGTTTGAGAAGATAGGCCCATATTGCTCTGTGGTGAATTTCTAAATCACTTCCATGGAGGTGGGCCTTGACTAGCTGATGTCTTGAGGCCTTGTTAATGCTGTTAGTATTTTGATGTGGAGAGCATCTTCTTTATAAAACATGTTCAGGTGATTAGTAATAACTTCGATTTGCTTGATTAGTGATTTGTTCTGCTTCCTTAAATTTCTAAAAATATTGACCTTGGTTTTATTCTGGATCTTGGGGTTACATGTTAATGCCAATACTGGTGAGACTGCCTTAAGCACCTTTCACTTTATATCCCACTCCCCCTGGCTTTTTTCTTCTCCCTACGTGGGGACCACTGGGATTTCTGGACACAGACTAAGCTGTGTGGGTGAGGGAATGTGCAAGCTCTGTGTGCAGGGTGAGAGTTTGCTGTGTCGGTGATTCCCACATGTGGCTGGGAACCTTCTTGAGCTCTGTAGTCCTCCTGAATGACAGTCCTCGGGGATGGGGCTTTGGAACCTATAGCTGATTGTGATGCAGCCGAAGTACACCCGCAGTCTCCGAGGACCGATGCGCATACAGCAAGAATGAGGCCCACGTGGGCATACAGTGAGAGTGAGGCCATTCCGATCTGGGTGGTGGTTTTAGACCAAGGAGGTTCTGAGGCTGTTGACCAAATTGCCTTTTTTCCACTGTCCTCCTCAAAGTTTCTGAGGTTAATAAAAAGTCCCAGGATGTTTCCACCTTGGGTCTTTTGAGCCATCCTGGAGTAGGCCTGATTTCTAAGAAAATGCCAGTGTGTTTGAGGCTTTGGAACCAGACTAGGATGGGTGAATAGTTTCTTCCTCAGCACCTTTGTAATCTCCTGGGAAGCATAGGCTTGTTTTGCTTTTGATAAGTCACTTCATGAAAATATAAACAAAGCTAACTTCCTGCCAACACTTTGCAGTTGGTTGGTTAACAATGTTCTACACATAGCTGGCCAAGAAGAATGGAGGAAAAGTGTGGTTCTTGTGAAATTTCCCTTTATAACTTGTCACGGACTCTTCACACTTGTGTTTCCTGGAAGACAGTTTTAATTTTGTTCCATTGACTGGTGAACATTATCAAAAACAAATATTTAGCGATTGCCTTCTGGGTACAAGCTGAGAACCACCATTGACGGGGTGGGGTATATACCGCGTATGCTACTCCTCTGTTGTGTTATCCAAGCACTTAGAATATGGACCAGATTATGTATGGTGGCCCCTTGCATACTTGGGGGTAGGAAAGCAAAGATCTTGAGTCAACAAGTTGGTGACTACTACCAGCCACAGCACCCATTTTTCCCCATTGTGTGTGTGCCTGATCCGTGGGGACACTGACATGGGACTTGGGGTGCGGGCAGAGTGGAGCAGCCCCTTGTCGCTCACAGCCGAGTGAGGTTATCTTGAGAACTTCAGGTCACTGCCAGTACCTGAGTGGGGAACATTAACTCTGGGGATGTGGTTGCCGTCCATGTCCTCTCAACACCCCAGAGGACAGTAAACAGCCAGGGGGTTCAGAGAAGGAAGGGGCCACTGTCAGCTCTCTTGACTTACAGCCTAAGGGAGAGGGGCAGGGTCTTCTAGACTTGGGGGGAGGTGGGGACACTAGAGAAGGAAGAATGGGGAGGCCGGGCCAGCAGGTGTGTTGGCATTAGGGACCCCCCAGGGCGGCAATGGAGACAGAGTGCAAAAGTCGTAAGAAACCAGACTGTGGACCCTGGTGAGTCCTGAACTTTAGGCCCAGGTGGTAAAATGTTACACATGTAGTTTGGTCTCCTCCTACCCAGAGGTCCTGAGAAATGAGAGTGAATGTCAGCCTGTCATTTGGTACTTCATAAATTATTAGGCCTAACCACTGTATTCATTTAGTGTTTTATATTACATAAAAATTGATATTGGCTGGAGTAGCTAGAAATATTATATTGGCAGGCCAAGGACATTTATTGTTATGCCTTAACACCAACCATTTACAGAGATGCTTGATATAGATACCACATGACAGGAGATAAAAGTCCAAATGGTAAAATAGCCCATACTTAGTCTCTGGAAATAAAATAATCCAACCCTCTGAGGGTTAGAAAATGCTGGCTTCGCTTTCATGGCCTGTTTATTGACTTGAGGTTCAACTTGGCACAGTCTCTGGGAGCGATCTTCATTCTCAGAGGAGGAGCTGATTTGACACCCAAAGAGATGGTATCTTCAGCCGCTGTCTGTACATACGGGTTGTTGGGATGCTGGCTGAGAAGTCTTCCTTGCTGTTCAGAGCTGGAGGAGAACAGAACACTTGGGTGTTTGGCTGTTACTCAGTCGAGTCCCTCCTGAGCAGAAGCGGTGGTGTGTTTGTGCTGTTGTTCCTGGGTGTAGTTCCTTCCCAGCCCAGGCACCACCAGCAGACTGGTCTGTATGGTCTCATTCCCTCTGCTGCCCTGAGCTGGCTTGTGCCTGAGGCTGATGAAGGCAAGTATTTTTACTAAGCTAGAGGGAGAACTACTTTTATTCAGCAGAGGAAATTTGAGAAAGAAGCTCAGTCCTGGTGTTCTTAGAAGATGTCAAATTTGATTCTTGGCAAATTGTTTTATCTTTTTGAACAGGTAATGTATTTACATGGATCTAAAATATAAAATGATATGCAATGAAAAATCTCCTTTATTTCCCTGTGCCCTAGCTGTCCATCCCCCACACGCATATATATGAAGCCAGGTTTCATGTTTTTGTATCATTCTTACAACTACAAACAAACAGGGCTGTGTACTTTTGCACCCCCCTCGCACAGATACATTGTATAGCCCGGTCAGTGCTCCTTAGAGAGCTCTCCTCTGTTGCCAGTCTTCCAATAAAGAAACAAAGCATGTTTAATAAAGTTGTGTTGACTAATTTTATAGAAAGTGCTGCTTTGGACTAATGGGGAAACAGATCTACTTGGAATTGAATACCAAAAATAATAGTATAGTTTCTGATGAAGGTTTGTGATGATTTTAATGAACCTGGATGTATTAAGGCTACTCTGCCTCTTAGAAATGGAAATTTAAAAAAAACCTCCCAGTGGGTGTGTCTTTGTCCCAGTATGAGAACTCTTTGTATGTCCTTTTGGCCTGGAATCATTTTCAGTCCCTGGCTCCCATTTTTTCTCTCTTTCACTCCCCTATTCCTTTCTTAAGTCTCTTACCATCTCCTAGAGCTGGAGCAGTCACTTTCTTCCTGTTTCTTTTATGAGCAGACAGACTGTGTTGACACTTTTTACCACATGGGCCTTTGAAGTTCTTCAAGTTTTGCTCTTCCACTCAGAACTCAGTTCTCTAACGGACATTGTGCTGCTTCAGTGGGGTTAGTTTGTTTAGGTATAGTGAGAATATGAGGACAATTGGACAACTTGGACTTCATCTCCATAATAATGTAATTTGGGGTGTTGAAATCATGGAGCACTGAACACGTTTTTAAAAGATCCACGTTGAATCCACATTTCTCTCCTGGGAATTCCGCCCCCCCCCCCGCCCCCAACAAAGACAAAAGTATTACACCCTTGTCCTTGGTCTTTGTCCCCATTTGTTGCAGATCAGGGTAAAAAAAAAGTCCTGGGGTTCTTTAGTGACTTAAGCTGTAAGTTTACAGAGAATGATGACCAGTGTTTGGGATGACAAGATGTGATGAGACTGTATTAACTTTCTCTTTTCTGAAATCTGTTCCAGCAACTTTACCAGATCCTGACAGACTTCGATATCCGGTTTTATATGTATGAGCTACTTAAGGTAAGTGGCATTCATAAGCAGTGAATTTTTTCAGGTGTATTCGTTAAAGAAGTTTTTGAGAGGATGAAGGGAATTCAGGCACTCTTTCTTGATACTTAGAGAATTTAGTGAGATTTGTTTTGTTTTTGTTCTTGTTTTTAATTTTTTTTAAAGTAGGCTCCACGCCCAACATGGGGCTTGAAATCACGACCCTGAGATCTAGCGTCACATCATCTACTGACTGAGCCAGCCAGGCACCCCAAGGGGTTTTTTTTGTTTTGTTTTAACTTACATTGAGATCTCTGTTGTGGGATCTTTACATAGAAACTTTCCAGTGGAACTGAGAAAGATGGCCGAGTCAAGAGATACCAGGAACATTATGTCAGAAATCAGAAGCTCCTCCTTCATAGCTCTTGTTGGCCCTTGGGTTTTCTTTTTGCTGCTTAATTAATACTATTAGTTTTCACTGTATAACACATCACCCAGAACTTAACAGTTTTTTAAAAAATTATTATTTCTCCTAATTTTGTGGGTGAGTCTTTTTTCTGGGTCAGCTTGCCTGGGGTACATTGTTCCAGGATGGCCTCATTCACATATCTGGGATGGCAGCTGGAATAGCTGAAGGCTCGTTCTGCAGGGGGTTAGTCTAAGTTGCTCCTTCCCGTGGTGGTCTCAGGGTTCCTAGTAGCACAAGAGGGCAAAGTTTGATATGTAAGCACTTTTCAGTCCTCTGCTTGTATCATTGTTTCCTAATGCCCCGTTGGCCAAAGCAAATCCTGGCCAAGCCTAGATTCAAGGAGGGGGGAAGTAGACTTCACCTTTTGATGGGCAGAGCGTTAAAATGACAGTGTGGAGGGACATGCCTACTGGGAGGGCAGGAATTTGTGGCCATCTTTCTCTCGCCGTCACTCATAATCCCCTTCCCAGCCTACCCTCCAGCCCTGACAGGTAGCTATTTAAATGGGTGGTCCTTCTAGCAGACTTAGTAATCTCCTAAGACAGAAATTTGGAAGCATTATTGGTTGGTGGAGGAATGATCTTTTTTAGTTTGTCTAGGTAAGCACTTAGTTAAAGAATTCTAAAATGGCTTATAAAATGGAGTAGCTCCTAATTTGTTTTGAGTCATGGATCACTAAGAATCTAATGAGAACATATAAACTCCCCCTCCCCGCATGTATAAATATACGGTATTACATAAAGTTTTATGGGGGGTGTGGCTCTCAAGTTAAGAACCTCTGAAAGACAGAGATGACTTATTGGCATTATTGAAGAAAATTGCCAAGATGGAGTTTTGATGGGATTGTGAACAGGTACTTGAACAAAATCCCAAGTTTAATTAAGGCTAAGCTTTAGGGAATGGGGGTTTGAAGAACTAGCTCTGTGAGGTAAATGTGTTTTCTTAGAAGTGCTTATACAAACCACTTGTCATTAGTACCAAGGTGGCGGATTTAAGAGTCCACTCTTAAAACTAATGGGTCTTTCCTTTGTCAATAAGATCAGAAACGTGAAGGTAGAGCTTGGTTCATCACACCTTTCTGCGTGTCCTCTCCAGACCAGAATGGAAGGCGTCAGTGGGGAAGGGGTTTGCAGTGTTGTGGTCTTACGAGCTGTCCAGCTAGCTCCTTCCCTGCGGGTGCTTTGTGGAGAACCCCCTGCATCCACCCAATGAGAGCTGCAATCCAAATCTCACAATTGGTTTTTTTTGTTGTTGTTGTTGTTTTTTTTTTTAAGTAAGGTGTTAAGATTTTGTGGTTTTCACTTAGCACACCAAAGATGAAGATTGATAACCTGGTACAGTTGTGCTTAGGTCAGGTGAAGACATTCCGATAATGCAGGTCTTCACAGGCTGGTCATTCAGTACTGTGTGTCTCATAACCCTTCTGCTTTCTGGAGGTAGCGGCTAGGCAGTAAGGGCCTTCTTTCTGCTAATGAGGCACGGAACCCCAGAACGAAGCTTGAAAAATGTCTTTCATGCTTAACGGTCAGATAATACCAGATTTTGAAACTGAAATAACTCCCCTAAGGAATTTAAAACCATGTCCGCGACTCCACAGGGAGTCCCCGACTAGTGAACTTGGCAAAAGAATCTGTTCACTTACTGTACTTGTTCAGCCTCTGCTCTCCTCAAGTGTTTCTCACATCCCAGGTATTATGGTCCTAATTAGTTCATTCCTTTGGGCAAAGACTAGGCAAAATAACAGAATCAACATTTGTTAAATTTTCTCTTTGGCGGGGAACAAAATGGGGATGAGGAAGAGGAAATCTGCTGCATGGAAAATGTAGAAGAAATTGAGGTGAGGGCTCTTGAGTGGTTCCTGGGTACACAGTGCGGTCTCCTGATTCAGATCCGGGGAGGTCTGTCCTCAGGAGCCCTGGTTTCATAAGGCACTGCCACAAAGCCATTGTGGAATCTTGCTACACCTATTGTTATGAAAACAAAACAAAGAGAAAAATCAAATTGAAGTAGAACTTCCATAAATGAATAAACTTTTTTTTTTTTAAGATTTTATTTATTTATTTGACAGAGAGAGAGGGAACACAAGCGGGGGGAGTGGGAGAGGGAGAAGCAGGCTTCCCGCTGAGCAGGGAGCCTGACGTGGGGCTCGATCCCAGGACCCTGGAATCATGACCTGAGCAGAAGGCAGGCGCTTAACGACTGAGCCACCCAGGTGCCCCCATAAATGAATAAATCTTAAGTGTACAGGTTTTTGGGTTTTTACGTAAGTGAAACCTTCACCAAGATTTATATATTACTGTGCTGCTGCCCAGTACAGTAGCTGTTGCCCACAGGTAGCTATTTAAATTTTAATTTAAAATTCTGTTCCTTAATCACAGCAGCCACATTTCAAGTGTTCAGTGGCCTCATGTGGCTAGTGGCTACCACATTAGACAGTGCAGATACAGAATATTCCTGGCATTGCAGAAAGTTCTGTTGGACAGGGCTGGTAGAGAATATTATGAATACCCCAGAAGGCTCTCTGCTCTTCAGGATCCCCTTTTCTGAAGATACTCTTCTCACTCCTACCACCATAGTTTAGTTTTGGCTGTTTTTTAACCTTCATATATAAAGCATCATACGATGTCTACTTTTTTGTGTCTGGGGAAAGCAAAATTTGTTTATTCTTGGAATGCTTATCCTGGGGATCGTTCTCTGACCTAGTCCAGTGGTTCTCAACCAGGTCAATTTGGCAAAGTCTGGAACCGTTTGTGGTTGTCACAATTGGGGAAGAGTCCTACCGGCATCTGGTGGGAAGAAGCCAGGGATTCCGTTAAACGTCCTGCAGTGTACAGGACAGCTCCCCACAACAAAGGATTATCCAGAGTCCAAAATGTCAGCAGTGCCAAGGTGGAAAAACCTTATCTTGTCCTGTGGAAAACTCCCCTAAAAGCACTCCGTGCCAAGCACATAGTAGGAAGCACAAGATGATGGGTTGCTGTGATTATTATTACCGAAGGAGTAAATCATGGCACTCAGATAGGCTGCAGTGCTTTTTAAGACAAGCCAGAGGTCCTAATTTGAAATGTATGGGAATAGTTACTATGTTCAGAAAGGGAGATTTAGAAGCAAATTTTTGTATTATCTAAAACAAACCACCCAGAGAAAAAATGGTAAAAAAAAAAAGATAAAAATGGTAAAAAAGATTTGACTCAGTATTTATCCAAAGAGGATACAGGATGATCATAACACCCAAAAAGATGTCAACTTGATGACCCAATTAGGAAATACAATTCAAATCCACAGTGAGGTCCCACTTCAGACCCACCAGAACAGTTATAATCCCAAGGGTGAACCAGTTACGAGTTGTTGGCGAGAATGTGGCGAAACTGGAACCTTCCTACGTGACTGCTGGGGATGTAAAATGGAGCAGGCAGTTTGGAAAACAATTAGGCAGACTCTTAAAAAGTTTGACGTAAACAGACAGCTCAGCACTTCCACCCTTAAGAATCTGCATAAGAGAAATGAAAGCCTGGGTCCTCTCAGAGACCTGTATGTGAATATTCCTAAGCAGCTTTATTCATGATAGCCCCAAACTGGAAACAACCCAGATGTCCATCAACTAGTACAGCCTTACAGTGGAATACTACTCAGCAAGAAAAAGGGAACACAGATGAATCTCGGCAACATTATGCTGAGGGAAAGAAGAATACTGTATATTGTATTATTTCATTTTATGAATGCCCAGAAAAGGCAGATCGGTAGTAACAGCAGGTTTGTGGTTATGGCTGAGGTAGGGGGCAAGGGGGGATGGGGATTGATCACAGGCAAGCTGAAGGGGAATTCTTGGGATGGTGGCAGAGTTCCAAGACTGGATTGTGGTGCTGGTCACACAACTCTGTGAATGTCCTAAAAGAAATCATTGATTTGTACGCTTAAAATCTTATCTGCATATCATCTATCTTGTAGGAAGCAATATCTTCCCTTAGAGTAAAAATAGAATTCTTAAAGGCCCCTGGCTCAAGGGTTGTTTTTAAAAGAAAATACTAATACTAGAATACTTGGTAATCTCGAAGGACCGGACACATGGGGGACTGGGCTAAAAGACAAGCCACGTTGAATGACACATTGTGATGTCATTGTTCATCCCCACAGGGACTCTTGTGTGCCATTTGAACCATGGTGAGAGGGACTCTAGTGAGTGTCCCAGATCTGGTTTTAAACCCATTGAGTTAGACCAACAGATTAATGTAGGATTTCTAAATCCAGGTGGCTGGTGAAGTGTTACCTACTAACACCTAAGTAGGAAGAATCTCCGTGTCCCCTCCCTAACATAGCCCCCTTTCCACCAGCTGCCAGCCTAGTGTGCACAGAGAGCGGGGGCGGGGGGGGGGGCTTCTGAAGCATGTCTGTTCTCCTCTGTTACAGACAGTAAGCTGACCCTTGGGAGACTGTATCCAAGTCAAGCTGTCACAAATAATAGGAATATGCTTGCATTGGGGGTTGGTAGATGGTTTGCTTACTTTTCTCTGTGCTTTCTTATCTCATAGGCTCTGGATTACTGCCACAGCAAGGGAATCATGCACAGGGATGTGAAACCTCACAATGTCATGATAGATCACCAGCAGAAGAAGGTACCATTGCAGCCAGGAAGCAACAAGGCTTTCCGGGGAGGCCTAGAGCAGACCACAACACTGGCCAGTACCTAGGTGGTACTGCAGATTTGTGTTACTGTTACTTCTTCAGCCTTCAGTGTTGCTTTCTACTTTGCATAAGTATGGTACACAAGGAAAGTAGACAGCCTAGCCTCACTGTAGTCCCTTGTTTATTTTGGTCATGGTTTTCCAGAGGGCCTCGCAAAGAAACTCCAGCTGATGGTTTCTCCTTCTTTTAATGACCCTCAGACCAATCAATCTGCCTGGCCTTAAAAGTACACTTGGGTCCCTCCTGTTTTTGATATCCAATTCTGGTTGTCCCTGGTTGGTGAGTAAACAAATCAGCTACTAGGAGGTGAACGAAAAGCTGGAGCAGTGCTTCAATGCTGGACTGGGGCCTGCGTCCCCAACCCTTTCAGTTGTGGCTAGAGCTTATAATGGAGGCTGTTAATGACGGGGGAGTGTGCTACACACGCTAGTGATATGGACGCAGAGTGAAAAGCTTAAGCTTGATTGATCTGAAGAGGATGATAAGCCAGGATCATTTAAATTTTAAAAAAAGAAAAAGCACATAAGATTCTGAGTGCTCTGCTCTAGAAGTGACCTCTTCCACAATTGCTGAAAGTGTAATTTTTGCCAGTGCACTTGCTAACATTTTTCATGTGGCCCACGTAATTGTTAGCTAATGTGATGTGGCCTTGTTCTAAGGCATGGGCGTCTAGAATCACTCCTTTACGTGTTCAATTTCTGTCATGTTTGTAGCTGCGACTGATAGACTGGGGTCTGGCGGAGTTCTACCATCCTGCTCAGGAGTACAATGTCCGTGTAGCCTCGAGGTACTTCAAGGGCCCAGAGCTCCTTGTGGACTATCAGGTAAAACTCTTAGCCAAGCACCTCCGCCTTCTTTGTGTGTTTCCTTGGGGCTTCTCCTCGTTTGCTATTTAGTCAGTCAGTTTGGATATATTCAAAACCCCAGCCTAAAGCGATAATTTCAGACTTTTCTCCGTGACTTTTTTTTTATTCCTTTGAATTCTAAAATATGTGCAAAGGTCAGCTGAAGACTAGAAATCCAGATCAGAGAAACGCATTTGTAATACCCTTCACTGAACTGACAGGCTGACCTTATGTCCCCAGATGTATGATTACAGCTTGGACATGTGGAGTTTGGGCTGTATGTTAGCAAGCATGATCTTTCGAAAGGAGCCCTTCTTTCATGGACAGGACAACTACGACCAGGTGAGCAAGCACTGGCTCTTCCCCCGTGTGGGGCACATGCCAAGAAAGTGGAGTCCTATGATAGGGGTGCTATCCTCGAGCCACTAAATATCACTCAGCGTCTGCACTAAGTTCTCCTTCAGGATAAAGAGTTTCATGACATTTTGTCTGTGGTTACCAGCCCCCCAAACGTAGAGAAAGATAAAGCTCTCTTATGCCCAACTTCAGAGTGAGTCTGTGAAGAAGTCAGGCAGTCCTTGACTAACAAAACCAGACTGTAGTCATTAGCTTGTGACACCCCCACAGTTGGTCAACTTCTAGGAGATTATTGCTGTAAGTTGTTACCATTTTAAAGGCAGTTTGGAAATTGGATTTCTGTGAACATCGTGTCCTGGGGTCTGCCATGTCCTGGGGTCTGCCACCTGTCGGCCCCAGGCTCCAGCCTACATCTGGTCCCTGAGGACTCAGTGATGTGGAAGTCCCCAGTGCCTTGGGATAACATCCTCACAGGCTTGCAGTGAGCTCTGTGCTCAGTGATTTGGTCAGTTTGTTTTGTGTTTCAGCTTGTTCGCATTGCCAAGGTTCTGGGTACAGATGAGCTGTATGGGTATCTGAAGAAGTATCACATAGACCTAGATCCACACTTCAACGATATCCTGGGACAGTAAGTAAGAGAGAGGGAGAGAGAACAAGGGTTTTAACGTACCCCATTTCAGAAGTGGGACTGTTCACCAAAATCGCTTGCTAATCATAGCAAAATTGAAGTCTCCTCCTTTCTTCCCGTATTTTTTTTTAACTTGCTTTGAGATATTTGGGAATTGTTTACATGTGTCTTCTGATCATTGTACTTCTCTAAGAGATAACCTGTCAGTCGGTGGAAAATGGAAGACAAAATCCTGTTACAGAAAAAAGCTTTCTGATACAGCATATGCTTATTTTACTGGAAAATGTTAGAAAGCTGTGATTCTTTTTTGATTAAGAGATTTATAGTTTTTTCTTCTGTGTAATGTATTTTCTACAAGGTAGCAAATTTTAAAGCATATTTGCAGGTACAGTGCAATAGTGTTGAAAAGTAAATGCGCTGACGATTTTCAAACTGTTTTATGGAGCCGCTGTGTTTCTGAGGCTAGCTCTCTAAATATTTCTGCTGAACAACAAAAATAACTCTGTCCCCTCTGTGCCTCGCCAGAATGGACTAAAAGCCTGAGGCATAAGAAATGATCTAAGAAGGTGCCACCAATACTAAATCATGATGTCGAAGTTTTCGCTCCTCTTATTTATCAGTCAGAGAGCACGGTTTTTGTTTCAGGATGCTGCGAGTGGCCCTCTGGGGGTGGGGCAGCTACCAGTGAGAAGGAGGTTTAACGAGCTTGAAATCAGCGCAGTCAGTATCCTAAGATTTTGTTGCTTTTAGCCCTAGTAACATCAGGATTCTTGTTGAATAGACTCTCGGTACTAATGCTTCCCTTTCCTTCTCAGACATTCACGGAAACGCTGGGAAAACTTCATCCATAGTGAGAACAGACACCTCGTCAGCCCCGAGGCTCTAGATCTTCTGGACAAACTTCTGCGATACGACCATCAACAGAGACTGACTGCCAAAGAGGCCATGGAGCACCCGTACTTCTGTGAGTCTCCAGGGGTGTAATTTATTAAAGAAAAAATTCTTCTGTTCTTTATTTTTGAGGCCAGTCAAGAGAATTCTAGGTATTTGGATTGACTCTTCCTTGGAATTTGGCCTCATTAGTTCTAGACTGTTGAGACAGCTTTGCAGTTCCGTTTCTTGATCTGCAGAGGTGTTTGTCCACTGCCTTAGCTCCGCTTGAGTCTGGTCTGTGGACCCATTCCCTGTGGCCCTGAGTTGATAGACCACAAGTACCTAAACATTGTTTTCAAATATATACGTCTGTGTGGAAACCTAATCGAAGATATTTTCCCCTCAGAAAACTAGTTAAAAGTAATGAGGTGACCGTAGTATATTTTTAAAGAAGGAAATGAGTTAAATAAATAAAAGGAACTTGATGAAAGGAAAGCAGGTGTGGAAAGACCCCACTAGGGCGCCTGGGTGGTTCAGTTGGTTAAGTGTCTGCCTTTGGCTCAGGTCATGATCCTGGAGTCCTGGGATCGAGTCCTGCATCGGGCTCCCTGCTGAGCAGGGAGTCTGCTTCTCCCTCTGCCCCTCCCCCCGCCACGTTCTCTCTCATTCTCTCTCTCAAATAAATAAATAAATAAATAAAAGACCCCACTAAAATCCTACCTCAGTTGAAGAATTTTTAGGTCTCACTTCCAAGTGCGTGTGTGTATTCAATGCCTGTGGTTGTGTATTGTCTGCATGTGTACAGCCCTTCCCCCCAATAAAGTATATCTCAAATAAACTTTCCCCTTAATCCTGGCAACGTAAGATGACTCAGTCCAGGCACAGAGGAGACTGGGGATAAAGGTTACGGGACCCGTCTCAGCTCACTCTCTGAATGGAGAAGAAAACCTTCAGCCTGTCTGTTGGCTTGGCCAGTATGCAGTCTTCCTTTCTTTTCTTTCCCTCTGAAGATTAAGCAGATCTTACCCGAATAATATAAATCTTGAACCTGCTGGTCCATAAACATTAGCAGACAACAAATTGGAAAGGTTTTACCCTTTGGCCTTCTAGACCTCGGACAAGTGCACCTCAGGGGTCCTCTTTCCAATTTCTGGCACCAGAAGCTATTTTCACCCTTTTGAGTTAGATCCAATTAAGAAATCTGGTGTTTGTAAAATGTAATTCATGATCCGTCCACTTTTCTGAATACACATCTTCTGTATAAAAAAAAAAAGAAGTGTTTCAAATGACTGTCGCTTAAAATTGATAGGTCTTCTAATGGCTCTTTTCATTCCTTTGCTCCAAAGTGCTCATTACTGCACGTGATTTGAAGAAATTGGGGGTTGGATCTGACATTAGCATTCAAAGAAAATAACACATAAAAGATTAGTAGTGATTTTGAACAGTGGGAAGTCAGTGTTTGTGGGCCTCTCTTCTCCAGGAGTCTCCGTAGTTGAACTTGCCCTCTGAGGGAAGTGCAGGAGCTGACTAGAAGAGCAGATTCCCCTGATTATTTTTCAGTGTCTGATTTTTCTCTCACCTTAGTTCTGTAATTTCTCTTGTCCTTCTGACCCTGGCTTTCTCGTCAGTCTGTCCATCTCACTGTACCCCACTGCGGAGGGGGGTTTTTCATGATGGTGTCTCCCACACCTTCCAGCCCAGATTCGCCTGACTTCCATCCTGTTCTCTTGCAGACCCCGTGGTGAAGGAGCAGTCCCAGCCCTCTGCAGACAATGCTGTGCTTTCCAGTGGCCTCACGGCGGCCCGGTGAACACTTGGAAGGCGACGGGTAATGCGGCATTGATGCTTGCCAATAAATCCAACCAACCAAACACAAATCTGGAAGGAAAACTACAATGTGATAAAAAGAAATTCTAGTCATTCCTTCTAAATGCAAAGAAGAGTAAAGACCTAACTGTCTGTCAAAAAGCAAGAAATCCCCCAGTACTAGTCTGCAGGGAGCTGCCGCTGCGGCAGCGTGACAATGCACATAGTTCAGGACCTGAGGGAACGCTCCCTTTGGAATGCATGGGAGATGAGAGACTCGGAGTTGTTGTACATTTACCTTTATTTAACAGGAGACCACTGTTGAATTAACCCGTTCAGTCAACAAGCTCTGAATATCTGACTTCCTATCTATTCCACTGTGGTCTGGGTTTCCTTTGGTGAGATTCAGGCTCAAGTTTTAGCAAAACGTCAGCAGTCTATACTGACACACCAGCCTCATTTACGTAAAGGAGATATTAAAACAGTGACAGTATTTTTTTTTTTAAGCTCTTTTACAAATTCATGTTTTATGTATTTTTTTATGACATGAGCTCTCTAGGAAATGTACCTCATCCCTGCAGTTTTCTTCCGAGTGTATTCATTTGGGAGCAAACTGCAGTCACTCACAAGAGGCCCCTTTTGCCGTCAGCAGGCATCACTTGAAACCTGGTGACGCCGTGAACAGGTCCATCTGTCTCCTCAGAAGTTTGATGCGAAGTGCATAACTTGGAGCTCACTGTAACCTTTGTTGATTTGCCTAACCATAAAATCTTGTTGCTATTTTTTCCGTGTAGCCTTTTTTTTCCTTTTGCAGCCTTGTAAGGAAAACCTCACCATATCCCAGCACATACATCCCAGTGTGTGTGCCTGTTTTCGTGCACCTCTCTGAAACAGAGGCTTTTTGATCACAACCATAATGAAAGCTGGAAAGTCGGTCTTCAGGCAGGTTGGGGAATGAAAGAAACATCTTATTAGAATGTATTTAGGAATGAGCTATTGGGTGAGAAAAATGTACTCCCACCCCCCCCACCACCCTTTTTTGCCTCTTTTTATCCCCACGGGAAGCAATTTCCCTCTGTAATCAGGGTAAGCTGCATTTTGACAGTCCCGAGAGGTCATGTGTGAACGTGATGGCAGAGCTGTCCTTCTCATGTGCAGGGACTGGGGTCATGTGTGCAGGGCCAGCCTGTTCCCCGACGACTGAGCAGAGCATCATACGAGGGGCCTGGCGGGTTAGTTGGAGTTCCTGGAGCCAGTGTCAAAGCTCGGGATCCGTTGTGCCAGCCTTCATGTCAGCAAAGGAAGCTAGATTCTGCTTTAAAAAGAAAACAGTCAAGCTGATTTCATTTTGGGGACTTGTCACCAGTCTGGTTTGCAAGCAGTCCCCTCCCCCAGCGGCAGAGCCATGCCACAGCTGTGGGGACTTTACAGCTAGGCTAGAGCTCGAGGTGTCTACCCACATCAGACCATAGGATTTCTTTATTAGCTATTTAATAATGCCATACATTTTTATAAGGTTAGATTGTTTGAAAACATCTGTTTACATTCCATATTCCAATAAAATTGTACTGGTATTGGTAGCAGGTCCTATCTCTAAATGTAGATTGTATTTTTGTCGTTTGGTCGGTGGGAATTTAAAATGCAAATAAAACTCTTAACTAGAGTTGAGCTTACAGATTGAAAATTAAAAATAAGTCCCCAAAGCCAGAAAATGCAATTAGGTAAGATTCTCATACCAATACTACCTGCCTGTATTGCACATTCTGTATATTGAGGTATACATTTGTTCTACTTGAAAGTCAAAGCCACGGCATGAGCTCTCAGCTGGACCTATATTGGTATGTCAGGCCAAGGAAGCCTTCTGATGTGCCCTTCTAGGCAACACTGTTCGTAATTATCAGGGAGATGTGCCACTTTGTGTCTTTTTTGCCCCCTACCTCTCATCTCCTCCTCTGTCACTCTTCCCCCCTCCCAACTTTTTTTTTTTTTTTTTTTTAAGTTGCCTGTCTGGACCAGGCAGGGGGAGCATACTGGAGGGTCTTGGTGAAGTAGTAACCCCGTTTCTTCCCCTTGGGTTCCCCAGAGGCAGTGAAAGCATCTAGAGGAGTATAGTCAGGTGCTGGGTGTACTGCCTCTGTCCGTTAATCATGGTTTAGTCGGTGCAGACACAACTAACCTGCCTTTCCTGGGGCTCCGTGACTGCAGCTCTGACACAGGAATAATTCTTTTTATGCATGGTTTGCTTCTCCACCACCTATACTTTCCATTTCTCTTTCTGCCTTAGACAGCATGACTGAGTTTAAAATGCTCGCCCCTTTCTGAGTCTGGTCTTGACACCTGGCTGGCTGGCTGGCTGTAGGTTGTTCTTTCCCAAACCGAAATGAGTCCAGTCCAGACCTTTTCTCTTAACCATCTCCAGAGCCATCTTGTGGCCAGATGGACCTAGCTCCCCCAAGATTTCAGAGTACTTAACCTGGGCTAGGAGATGGTCATGGAGAGTTCCAAAAGTGGGTGGGGGGAGGGGGCAGGGAAAGAAGAAGGAGAGAGAGAGTGTGTGTGAGGGAGTGAGTGTGTGTGAGGGAGTGAGTGTGTGTG